TCAATCTGTATGCTGAGCAAATAATCCGAGAAGCTTGACAATATGAAGAAGAACAAGGCAACAGGATTGGAGGAAGACTCATTAACAGCCTGTGATATGGAGATGGCACAGCCTTGCTTGCTGAAAGTGAAGATGACTTGAAGCACTTACTGATGAAGATTAAGAACTAGTTGTAGTATGGATTTCACCTCAACATAAAGAAAACAAAAATCCTCACAACTGGACCAATAAGCAGCATCACAATAAATGGGGAAAAGATTGAAGTTGTCAAAGATTTCATATTACTTGGATCCACAATCAACACCAATGGAAGTAGCAGTCAAGAAATGAGATGACATATTGCACTGGGCAAATCTGCTGCAAAAGACCTCTCTAAAGTGCTGAAGAGCAAAGATGTCTCTTTGAAGACTAAGTTGTTCCAACCCAAGCCATGGTATTTTTAATCACCTCATATGGATGTGAAAGCTGGACAATGAATAAGGAAGACCGAAGAAGAGTTGATGCTTTTGAGTTGTGGTGCTGGCAAAGAATACTGAAAGTACCATGTCAGAAGAACTAACAAATCTGTCCTGGAAGAAGTGCAGCCTGAATGCTCCTCAGAAGTGAGAATGGCCAGACTTGTCTCACCCTCTTTGGTTATGTTGTCAGAAAGGACCATTCTCTGGAGAAGGATATCATGCTTGATAAAGTGGCAGGTCAATGAAAAAGCGGAAGACACTCAAGGAGATGGATTGACACAGTGACTGCAACAATGGGGTGGGGTGTAACAAGGATCATGAGGCTGTCACAGGGCAGGGCAATGTTTCGTTCTGTTGTACATAGGGTCTTATGAGTCAGAGCTGACTCAAGGGCACCTAACAACAACAACAAAATACTAGTTGTGGTGGGCATTAAATGAAAATTTCTTTGTTTATTCATCAGTTCACTGAGTGTCTCCTATGCACCAGAGCCATGTACCTACAGCAAGGCATACTGCCTAACACATGGTAACTCAATTACTATTGTGGGTATTACTATTATGACTATTATTACTAGACTCAAGGAGTCCTGGTGATGCAATGTTTAACCTCTTGGCTACTAACCCAAAAAGTTAGTGGTTCCAAGCCACCAGCTGCTCTGCAGGAGAAAAGACTTGGCAATTTTCCCTCCTAAAGATTGTTGTTGCTATTATTAGGTGTCAACACGTTGGTTCCGACTCACAGAGACTCTATGTACAACAGAAGCAAACACTGTCTGGTCCTGCACCATCCTCACAATCGTTGCTATGTTTGAGCCCCTTGTTGCAGCCATTGTGTCAATCCATCTTGACCCCTTGAGGGTCTTCTTTATTTTTGCTGATTAAGGATTACAGCCTAGGAAAGCCCTATGGGGCCCGCTGTCCTAAAGGGTCACTATGAGTTGGAATTGACTCGATAACACACAACAACTACATTCAAAGGCTAAGCATATAGTTTGTATTGAAAATGTTAAGCCGTAGAAAGCATAACTTCTCCTAAAGAGTAAGACTCCAGGTACCACTTGGAGGGTCGCAGGTTGTGGCAAGTCATCAACCAGGGCTGAGAGGCCCAGAAAAAAGGGGCAAAAGCTTTGTCCAATGAATGGAGGACTAAGGGCCGGTACAGCCAATCAGACGGCTGGCTCAATCCAGCGCCCCTATGTGATAAGCTGAAGTGCCTTAAATCCTTCCTCCCTCGGGTCAGAATTGGAGGAGGGTCTTGGAGGGTGGGGGCGGTAGGTGAAGCTGCGGGGAAACAGGTGCTGGACTGGGACTGAGGCCTATGGTCTCCACCAATCACGCGACAGGTCTTTATTGGGCAGCTGCTGGGGTGCATCTTGGCTCTATGGTGGTTCAGAGATGAGCAGGGCAGAAGGTCACAGCCTACCTGGGGATGGGATGGGATGGATAGGGATGGGCGAAAGGGCATGAGAGAGAAGCCAGAAGCCGGCGTGCGTGCTCAGACCTGAACAAGGAGAAATGGGGTTAGAGGAGGTCAGAGGAGCCAGGGAGCTGTGAGAGCTAAACTGGTTGGGCTTCGGGGAGGAGGTGCGGCTGGAATTTGGCTTTAAAGGATGTTTAGGTAGGTAGAGTGGAAGGCTTCTAGGTGGGGAAACAGTGCGAGGAAAGGCATTGAGGCAGGACCACATGGGACTAGACGAAAGGGCCTTGTTGGGGTAGAGTGAAGACATTTTTTGCCCGGGAGAGAAGGAAGTGAGGCTGGGAGGCCAGCGCAGAGAGAGCCTTAATGCCAGTCGCATAGGCTGGGACTGTCTCCAGTAGGCAGTGGGGAGCCATTGAAGGTTTTTGAGCATGGGAATGATGTTTGTTGTAACTGGGTGGTTGAGCTTGTGCTAGGCTCGAAAGATATTGGGAGGGAGAGCATGGGAGAATCAAAAGGGGAAGGGTCATGGTTTCAAGGTCAGCTAAGATTTGGAAGGAGGACTCCCTGGTTCCTTGGGTGGGAGCAATGTGAAGTTACAAGCAGCAAAACCCCTTTGGGGGCTAGTCTAGACATACTGTCCTAAAAGGGGTCTCAAATCACTGGTGGTTAGAACAGGGCTCCGGACTCGTGACTTCCCCTTGAGTCCTACTTTGCTGTGGGATCATGGATAGTCCCTTCACACCTCCAATCCTCACATTCTTCCTCCATAAACTGGACATGGTACAATTTACCTCCAGGGAGAAGTGTAAGGATTAATGAGAGAATGAGGAAAGGGTCTAGCTCAGTGCTTGGCACACAGTAGGTGCTCTAGAAGTGTTGTTCCCATCCCCATCTCCCACTGTGTGGCTGGCACACAGTAGGGCACAAGAGGCCAGTGTTCAGGTCACCTCCAGTTAAATGGAGTTTTTGCTTTCAGAAGCCATTCACTCACTCATTCATTATTCAGTCATTCCAGCATTTCTAAGTACTACTATGTGCTGGGTCACAGAGTTGAATCAGACTATTGTCCCATGTCCTTGAAGAGTTTATTCAATTATTTCTTCAGCAACATTCATAGAGGCCTGCTGTGTGCTTTGGCTGGGGTAGGGGTTGGTGGGTATTGGGGATGAAGTGAGTATTGCTTGGGGGGAGGGGACGACAACTATGACTCAGCTTCACAAGGTCACGCCTCTGCATCTGGGAAGAGCAGGAACCCAGAGAAGATGCTGTTGGCACCCTCCATGCCCACCAGGGCGTTCTTGTCAGTGGCCTGCAGGAACACGTTCTCCCCCTGGTCCAGCTTGAGGACTACACCACCAGTGGTGACCTGGAAGGTGTTATAGACATAGTCGCAGAAGCTGACCACCTTCTGTGTGCGCTCCCGGCCCCGGACTAGGTTCACACACAGGTTCCCGCGTGAGCTGGCATGATAGGTGAAGTAGTAGAGGCCGGGCACCCTGCAGGTGAACTTGCCGCTGCGAGGCTCGTAGTTGTTATTCTCATTGGTGATCATGTGGTCGAAGCGGATGGTCTGGTCCCGCCGCAGGGGAGTGTTGATGTTCCGCTTGGCAGAGAAGGCTATTTTCTGTGTGGCCTTGTAATCTCCCGATTCACCCTTGGGGCCACGGGCTCCAGGGGGTCCTGGGGAGCCTTTCGGGCCGATGGGGCCTTTGGGACCAACTTTCCCTGGATTTCCAGGGATTCCTGGATCCCCCTTCTCTCCGAACTCACCATGGTCTCCAGCTAGCCCTGGCAGCCCTGGAAAAGTGAAGATGAGAAATGAGGAGACCAGAGATCATTGAGAACCAGACTGAGTGGCAGGGAACCTGGCTGTGGCCTTGGACAAGTCTCTGCCTCTCTCTTAGCCTTAGCCTCCCATTTTTTTAAAAAAAGATGGGGAAACCAGAGAAGGCCTCTGTGTTTCCTTCTATTATGGTTTCTTGAGTCTGTGGTATGCTCACCACTAATGGAGACTGATGGGTGTGGGAAGGGGAGCCATATCTCCTTAGGCAAAACTGGATCTGCCATCCTCATCAGCTTGTCTGGGTACTCTAATCTGGGGTTAGGTCTAGAGCAGGGAAAAGAAATTCTTAGCACATTTACTATCCTTCTATACTCCCTCGCCCATGGCAGACATCCTTAATCAATCACAGTCTTGCTGAGCCTGGAAGTGGGCCTTAGACTGCTTCTCAGTACAACACTCCAAAGCAGCCACTACCAATCCAATCAGTACGACACAAGATAAAGCCTATTTTTTCAGAATAGTGGCAGAGCAAATTGGCTGAGAACATGGGCTTTGGGGACAGACAAATGTGCTTCTAATGTCACACCTGCTATTATTAGTTGTGTCACCTTCATTGAGTCATATTCTCTGAGGCTCAGGTTCCTCTTCTGTAAAATGGGGATAATGATATTCTGTGGGATGGTGAGGATTTGATGAGATTAAGTGAGTTGAGTGGCTGGCACAGAGGATTGCTCGATAACCATGGGCCAATGAATGAACTGCATTTGCAGTTTGATTCATTGGGGGACAGATCTTATTTGAACACAACAATCCTGAAAAATTATCACTGTCTTCATTTCACAGGTGAGGAAACAGCAAGTCAGAAGGGTGAATCCATTTACCCTGGGGGTAATTGCAAACCCAGGGCTGTGAGACTTCAACGCTAGGGCTTGCTCTCTCCCTGGATTTGGTGGCAAGAAATCCATGGTCTGCTCTCAGCCTCAACAATTACTGGGCTACCTTGGCAAGTCATTAGCCTTTCTGGACATCAGTTATACCTTCTGCAAAATGGAAGTCAATGCTCCCTCCTTGCAAGGTCGTGGTGAGGGCTCAGAAAACTGATGGATTTTCAAGTGTTTTTGTGATCTCTAAGGAGGACAACTGTGACTGGGGAGGCTGGAGATGGGGCTTTGGTCAGTGACGTGAGTGTATCCCCAAAGCCCATGGTACCTTGCTCTCCCTTTGTCCCTGGAGTCCCAGGTTTGCCATAGGCGCCTGGTGCCCCAGGGATGCCTGGAATGCCAGGGATGGCCGGGTGCCCGGTACAGCTGCTCTGGGCCTGGGAGACACCAAGGAGACCTAGGAGCAGCAGTGGCAACAGTGCTGGGATGCTTCTGCACAGGCTCTTCATCACTGCACTGTCTCAGGTACCTCCTGCAGGTGGAGAAGATGTGGGTGGTTACCACCATGCTGACTCCTATCATTCATTCACTCATATGTTCATGTGCTCACTAAGTGTCTCTTAAACAGCAGACCCTGATCTAAGTGCTGGGGATTCCGTGATGAGCAAGACAAATATGGCCCCTTCCCTGATGGAGTGGACAGTCTAGGTGACAGACAGGCAATTAACAAGTCAACATGTAAATAAACAAGAGCTGTGATTAGGGCTCTGTAAGAAATGAGGCGGTACTGGGAGGGAGAGTAACTGGGCTGGGGTGGGAGGTGGCTGCTTTACCGAGGGAAGTCCTCCCACCAGTAAAAGTTTCTAGCCAGGGAGGCCTCTCCAGGGAGTAATGTTTAGGCTGAGACCTGAAAGGTAAGGAAAGGTTGGGACAGGAGTGTTCCAGGAGGAAGGAATGGTGGGGACAAAAGTCCAGAGGTAGGACAGAGATTGGAATGTGAGAATCAGCAGGGAGGCTGGGGTGGCCAGAGGGCAGAGGAGTCAAAGTGATGGAGGTGAAGTATGGAGAGGCCAGCCTAAAGTCCCGAAGGCCCTGGTATACAGGCTTCATTAATTGGAGCTTCTAAATTCAGGGTGCCTATGTGGTTCCCAAGGAGCTCTGGTAGCATAGTGCCTAAGGCACTTGAGTGCTAAGCAGAAGGCTGGCAGTTCAAACCCACCAGCCACTCCTCAAAAGGAAGGTTGGGCAATCTACTTCTGTAGAGATACTGCCTTGGAAACCCAAGGAGGGGTAGCTATGAGTCGGGTCTGACTCGACGGCACCTAATTACAACAACAACAACATGCAGTTCCCATAGGAAGCAAGACTGAGCAATCTACTTCCATAAAGATTTACTGCCTCAGAAACCCAGTGGGTGTCGCTTTGAGTCGGAATTCACTCTATGACAGTGGGTTTGGTTTTTGGTTTATGCGGTTCCCACAGTGGCCACTTTGCATCCTCAGAGCAGCCCTGCTTAGTAGACACTATTATTTTTACATCAAAGTTTAGAGAAGCTGAAGTTTAGAGAAGCCAAGTCAGTTGCTCAGGGTCACACAGTTAAGGAATGGAGCCAGGACTTGAACCCAGGCTGTGTGATCCTGGAGCCAGTGTTCCTGCCAGCATACCAGGCCAAATGTGCCAGCTGAATACTCAGATTCCCCCAAGAGTTGCTGGCCCTGGCAAGGGGGCGGTGCTACCCCTTCTTTATCTGAGAACTAGGAAGAAGCCTGTGGGTTGTCTTGAGCTGGTCAGCCCAGTTTGGCTAGCACACCGTGGTGTTAATTCTCAGGACAGAAGGAACTTTGAAGTTCATCCAGTGCAGCCCTCCTCAATAACATCTCTGCCAAGGGCTCTCTCATTCACGGCTTCTACTGTCCTCAGTGATGCAACTCATTACTTTCCAAGGCAGCCTATCCCACCATTGCCCAGATTCAAACTCCGCCTGTCTTGTAAGGCTTGGGCCAAATTGTTTCTCCTCCCAGGAACCTTTCTTTGTCACTCCTTACCCCATCACCATCTTTTTTTCTCACTCTTAAAATTGGAGAGGAGCGTGGTTCTTGCCATCTCCCAGAAAAACCGTGGGAATTCAGCTGAGACCACATATGGGAAAGAATCATGAAGCTCTGAGCACCTGGACTGGTCGCTGCTATTGCCAGACCCTCACACCACCCTGAGGAGATAGGTTCTGATTATGTTCCCATCCTGCAGATGAGTAAACCAAGGCTCGAACATTAAAAACAACTTGCCCAAAGTCACCCGGAGAGTTGGTCCATGGCAGGGCTGTGGCCTACCCTGTCTGCCTCACCCTGGCCATGGCAATCCCAGAATTTGACCATTGCAGGGCTTCCTGAGAGCCTCAGAACCTGCTGATTTTTGCCTTGCATGCTCTAAACATCAGCCTCAGTCCCTCAGGCTAGTCCTAACCAATTTATGAAACCTGTCCTAATCCCCTGGGTTAGCCAGACCCTGTGCTGGGCACCATGGGAGGGAAAGCTGCAAAGGTGGGTGTGACCAGGACCTGCCGAGTACCAAGGACCGGCTTAGGCTCAGGGGTCAATCCCACTTATCTCTGAATATGCATCAGCCTCACTCTTGCTGGAGATTTTACAAAATGACAACTTGAATAATCCCTGCATTACATTCCAGGTGCCAGGCTCTGTGTCAAATGCTCCACCTGCCATTATTTCTTTTAATTTGGTCCTCACAATAGCTCTCAGAGAAAGCACTCCTGTTGTCTCAGTCTGCAGTTGGCAAAACTGGTATTAGAGAGGGCAAAAACCTTGGCATAGGAGCTCTGGTAGCATAGTGGTTACGGTACTTGACTGCTAACCAGAAGGCTGGCGGTTCAAACCCACCAGCCACTCCTCGGAAGGAAGATGGGGCAATCTACTTCCGTAGTGATACTGCCTCGGAAACCCAAGGAGGGGTCGCTATGAGTCAGGTCCAACACAACGGCAAACAACAACAACACAACAAGTTCACATAGCTCCCATGGCAGGGATTCATAGCCACGTTCACCGGATCTCAAAAGTTTATAGGGCTGTTAGGTGAAGAAGCAGCTGTAACTGGTGGTTACAGCACAGGCTTTGGAGTCAAACAACCTGATAAAAGGAGTGAATGCATGTGTTGGGTGCACCATCAGTGCTCAGTAGAGGAGGCTTTGATCATTAGTATAATCATTGTTATTAGGCAGCAAACATTGACCTGGTGGTCAGAGCCCTGGTGTCATAAGGAAAACAATGCTGCCAGGCTCCAAATCCAGTTTCTGCCACTTCTTAGTTTAGGCACTTAAGCAAGTCTACCTCTCTGGCCTCAGTTTCTCCATCTATAAAATGGGCATAATAATCTCTACCTCATGGAGTTAATGTGAGGACAAATGAACTAGGGTTTGCAACAGAGCCTGGAATGTTGTAATGCTTAATGAAAATTAGCTATTTTATTATTATCACCATCATCCAAGAATCTTCAAGTTTCTGGACAGGAGGTAAGATGGTTGGAGGAGTGAAAAGAACCCATTATCTTTGGGTGGTTGGGCTCAGGGAGACGGGCTTTCTCAGGGGGGAGGTGGCCCGGGGTGGAAAACTCTGGCCAGCCTGGGGGAGCTGGGTCCTGACTGCTGATGGGACTTGGACTTCTTGGGAAAGCTGGAGGGGGGTGGGGTGAGAATGGGACAATCTGGGTTCTATCCCATTTCAGCACCCCAACCCCAGTCTCAGACTTAGAGGAGGACTTAAAACTTATCTGGTCTGACCACCCCTGGTCTCTACCAATCCATGGTCACCTTTAGCCTTGCTCCTCAGTCTCCCCCATATTACTGATCCCTCCAACTCCCTTCAGTGTGGACATCCCCTCCCCTCCTCCAACTTGGCCAACTTGACCTTGAACTCCCCCTCTGCTGCAACCTCACTGCATGACCTGGGCGAGTGCCTTAACCTTTCTGAGCCTCTTTGACGATGATCATTTCTACCTGGCAGGGCTGCCAGAAGGATTGAATGGGATGGAAGCTAAAAGGAATAAGGTCCCTAAGTGCCTGTTCCCACCCCACCTTACAAACATCATTGAGTTCCTGCAGTACTAATAGTTAATCATAGCTTCACCTGCAAATCAAATTATTTCCTTGAAAGAGTCAAGCTGAGGTTTCTCAGCAGACTTCCAGGAAGTGAGAGAAGCAAGGTGTTAGGGAGTGCTGGGCTCGGCAGAGGGAGACGTGGGTTCTAATTTCACTCCGCCTCAGGTTTACTGACACTTTTGAGCCGGTAGGGTAGGGTGTTAGCACATTGAGCTTTATCTCACAGCAGCCCTGGAGAAAGGTTCTATTATCCCCAGGCTAAGAGAGGTTAGGTGACTTGCCTAAGATCAATGGCACATAAGAAGCAGAAGCAGAACGCAGCTCAAGTTTCTGTAACCCCAAAGCCCTTATCCTGGTGGCTGCAACTGTGGCCTGCTCTCCTACCACCACCTGGGCCTTGGGAGGCAGCAGACTGCTAAGTCCACCCTCAGAGGGTCTGATCCCGTAAGCCTGGGATTGGGCCCAGGAATTCACACTGCTAACCAATACCCCAGAGGCTCATCTTGACAGTCACCACCCTCCGCCATATTGGCTCTGCCTGCTAGACCCCCAGGCACTGAGCCCTGTCCTCACCTGGGGACCCGGTGTCCTGTGATTCTGCAGGGCCAGGCAGCAGCGGGACCGGGAGCTGGCAGCCTGCTGCTCTCAGTCCCAAGCAGAAGTTCCATTCCTCAGAGTCCAGCCCCTCCTCGTCACCCCACTCTCACCCCCTCTTGCTGCCCTCAGGCAGTTTCAGGTTCCGTTTCTGTAACCCAGAGGAGTTTACTGTAAGTGGTCTGGGTGGCTGGGGTCCTTGGTTTCGCCAACTCAGCAGTTGTGGGGAGAACAGGTTGTCCTGGGGAATGACCACAGCTGGCAGCTCTCCCACCAAGGCTGTCTGACCTCATGGTCTTCTGCAGAGAACAAGGATGTCACTCCATGAAATGATAACACGGTCAGCCTGGTGCGTGAGACTGGATTTGGAGCCAGAGACGTTCTGGCTCTGCCAATTACCACCTGAATGTTCTCAGCCAAAGGAACCCAAGGAAGCCCCAGGTTTCTCCTCTATATAATGGGACCGCAATCATACCGACTTTGCAGATCTCACGGGATACTGGGAGGCTCATATGGGATAATGGATGAGGAAGCATGGGCTAAACCATAAAGTGCTGTGCACATGTTAATGGTTAATGTCATCCATGTCCCAGGCTTCCCCTTTCTGGGCTCATCTCTTCTGCTTCCTTCCCATTCTGCACCCCTGCTATTTCCCTATTCTCAGAAAATAATCTAATAATGAATTTTAAATGTGGTCATTATTTATTTATACCCTTCCCTCTGTGTCCAGCGGGCTTGAAGCTGATGACAATAACAGGCCCAGGCGGGGGTCTGTTGCCAGATGACTCTGGAATCACACCAAGTCAGGGCTAGAGAAGGCCTTAAGGGTCACCCAACTCATCTCCCTCACTTTGCATATGGGGAAACTGAGTCCTAGGGAGGAGAAAGTCATTCTTCAGCAAGTAGCTTATTGTGAGTCTCTAGGTGCTGGGCCCTGGAGAGAGAACTCTAAGCAAGTCAGCCATGGTCCCTGTCCTCACGGAGCTTCCCTTCTGCTGGGGAGATTGGTGTTAAAAAATCTCGTGACATATGATTTCATTGCTAGTGTGATAAATAGGAGCTCTGGTTGGTGTAGTGGTTAAGCATTCAGCTGCTAACCAAAAGGTCAGTGGTTTGAACCCACCAGCCACTCCATAGGAGAAAAGATGAAGCAGTCTGCTTCCATAAAGAGTTATAGCCTTGGAAACCCTATGGGGGCAGTTCTACTCTGTCCTATAAGATCTCTATGAGTCAAAATCGACTCAATGGGTTTAGTGGGTGAGAAATATCTCAAAAAAGAAGTGACTGCTGCGTGACGCTCATGGTGGAGGCAGGGCCCCGGCCCCAGAATGTCAGTCTCCTTACTGTGACTACGTGGTACCCCTCTCAGGGACAGGTGCCTGAGGTCAGGAGGGCCCTTTTGACTTCGGTACTTGGAAAGAGAAAATCGATGGGCTTGTGGCTACTGATTGATGGAAATTAAATGTGAACTGCAATGAGTGATAGGGAAAGAAAAGACTAGTTTGATAAAACCAAAGGGTCTCGAGGCTCCGTGAAGGACCCAGGCTTCAGTGAAGGGGGCAGGATGGTGGCTCCCGAGCAGGGAGAGGGAGGCTGCTTTGGCCTTGTTGCTGTCGAGTTGGCTGCAACTCATAGCGACAACAGAACGAAACACTGCCCGGTCCTGCCCCACCTTCAAAAGCCTTGCCATGCTTGCGCCCATTGTTGCAGCCATAGTGTCAGTCCATCTTGTTGAGGGTCTTCCCCTTTTTCACTGACCCTCTCCTTTACCAAGCACGATACCCTCCCAAGCTGGGGCCTAGCCTCTAATTTTTTGGTGGCTGAGGCCACAGGAACAGGTCAGTTTGAACAGGGGGTAGAAGCAGAGTGAGACTAAGAGCAGGAAGTGGCAGCTGTTGTTTCTGTTAGTTGCTGTGAAGTCAGTCCCAACTCCAAGCAACCCCACGTGTGTAGTGTACAACTGCTCCACAGAGTTTTCAAGGCTGTGACCTTTCAGAAGCAGATCACCAGATCTCTCTTCCAAGATGCCTCTGGTTGGGTTTGAACCTCCAACCTTTAGGCCGGTAGTCGAGTGCTTAACTGTTTGTGCCATCCAGAGACTCCAGGAAGCAGCAGAGAGAGGTTAAGAGCAAGGCTTTGGAGTCAGCCATGGCTGCCACCACTGTCTCTTTCTAGCTATGTGGCCTCAGGCACCTTTATTACCTCAGTTTCCCCATGCATAAATCAAGGACTTGAGCACATGCCTCCTGGGGTTGTCAAAGTCCAGTGAGATAACTGTGTATGTCAAGGGCCCAAAGTTGGCACCCAGAGTATAACTGGGTATATATTATTTACACCAAGAGATGGCAACATTCTTGGGACTCTGGGAGCAAAGGAGCCAGGCCTGGGTTAAGAAGGGGCCAGGACTCAGGGATCAGGAGCTCAGGGTCTCTGGGCCTGGAGCCCTGAGCGGGAGCCAGTTGGACTCTGTTACCCATAAAAGTTTTGACTTGCATCCATGATAGAGGATGACGGCAACAAAGCGCGAAGGAAAGCACCTGAAATCCCTCGACACCCTGTGGTCTGAAAACAGTTCCTCACAGCTTGGATTCCTTCTGTGGTTCTTGCCCCCCCACCATCCCCTTCTAGCCTTCAGGGGAGGCTGCTCTGCCTGCCTGCCCCCTTACCAACTCTCCCCAGCTCCCCTCAGCACAAGGACAAGCTGGCACGTTCAAGGGCTGGTCTCTCCTGACTCAGGGAGAACAACAAGGAAACAATTATGGAAAAGAAAAAAAAAGGCACAAAAATTGTCACTTCCAAAGTACAGGTTTCTGATCTGACACTGTGGCCTACATAAATGGTGTATTGATTTTGTAAACAAAGGAGAAATGAGAAGAAAGATGTATCACTTGCGGCATTGCCGGGCAGACTGCTAAGTGGTTGATGGAGGGAGACCGTGAATGAGGAACCTGTCCCTGCCAGAGGTGCCCAGACTCCATAAACGGCCAGGACTCTCTGCCTGTCCTCCTGGCTTTCTCTCTATGGGTGTGTGAGTCTCTCTCTCCCTCCCTCCCCATCGTCTTACACAGTCTACGGCTCGTATGTAATACAGCCATACCTCAGAGACACTGTGGGTTTGGTTCCAGACCAAATACCATAATAGAGCGAGTCACACGAATTATTTGGTTTTCCAGTGCATATAAAAGCTATGTTTATACTACACTGTAGTTTATTAAGTGTAATAGCAGTATGGAAATATTGTGAGAATTACCAATATGTGACACAGAGACATGAAGCAAGTACATGCTGTTGGAAAAATAACACCAACAGACTTGGTGGACGCAGGGTTGCTTCAAACCTTCAATTTGTAAAATAAAAACACAATATCTGCAGAGCACAACAAAACAAGGTATACTTGTAAATGCCAGTCATCTTACAGGGGGCTGGGATACAGACGTGCATCAGAAGTGGCCCCACCCTCAAAGATGCTCAGGGTCCTGCAGGGGAGGCAGATACATATGTGACTGAAGTATGCAGAAGGTGGACATACTGCATCATATTTACCTGGCAAATTCCCCACTCACCTACAGCCCCGTGACTTCCCCAAACCTTTATAAACCAGCCTGGGCTCCAAGAATCTGTTTTGTTTTTTAAAAACATAACTCCAAGGTAATTTTGTTGCACCATCAGATTTGGAAACCCAGGTTCCAAAGTATCATGAGTTTGTGATCCAAGTCTGTGGAGGGTACTGTGGGGATACAAAGGGGGAATCAGGGGAGGCTTCCTAGAGGAGATGATCTTGGAGCTGAGTCCTGAAAGTTGAGTGAGTATGAACCAGGTGGATGGAGAAGCACCTGGAGATCTGTAAGAATCACCTGAGGATCTTGTTGAACAGTGGCTTCTGATTCAGTCTATCCAGGTGGAAATGCAAATTCTCAGCAGGGGATCAACTTGGAATTAACTTGTTGCAAGCTGCGAGATCCCAGCAGACCAGGGCGGGGGTTCTCTCTGGACATAAACAGCCTTGGTTTACACTGAGCTCTGACATCTGCACCAGAAAGTTACACTTTTTTTTTTTTTTTTTATCTTTTTACACCTGAACTGCAAAATTCTGTCTGGTGTCTGCTGCAGTGACACTGCTGCAGCAAATGGCGGCCTCCTTGGTCCTCCCACAGGCCCATGGTGGCCAGGCCAATGTCAGGAAGCTCCTAGCCAAACTTGACAGCCTGTGAGCAGCAGTGGCTTTAGGGCCTTCCCGGGTCTTTTAGGGCCTAACCCTCCAACTCCCTGGAATCCTGGACAAGGAGGTGGATACAGCTCTTCAAAGACAACAATAGCAGAGACAACTCTTCCCAGAGTCTGTGAGCTATTCAGGGTGAGTCAGACTTCTGGAGAAGAGGTTTTTACACTCTTTCCCCTTGCCCACTCATGCCCATCTTGGAGGATGGCTGCAAATATTAAATGAGTTAATACATGTAGAGCACGCAGCACAATACCTGATGCAGAGCAAGTGCTTAGTAAATGTTAGCTGTGATGATTTTTCTTCACTCATTCATTTACTCGGCATTCAGTCATTCATTCATCCACTTGTTCATTCATTAATTCACCTCCATTCACTCATTGACTCGGCACAAATTCATTGTCCATTTAATCTTTGCCTGCATTGGGTTTACCTGATGCCACACCCCTCCTGTGGTAAAAATGGACCCAGTTGTCATAGGGTCTGTTCCCACTCATGGTGACCCCATGCGTTTCAGATTAGAACTGTGCACCATGGAGTTTTCAATGGTTGAGTTTCTGAAGAAGATCACCAGCCCTTTCTTCTGAGATGCTTTTGGGTGGACTTGAACCACCAGCCTTCGGGTAGCAGTGAACACATTTACTGTTTGCACCAATGTGCTCCTAAAATTCAATATAGGCCTGGGGATTAAAGTACACTCTGGTTTACCTGTGAGTGCAGATACTGCAATGATAGCAGTGCCTCTCACTCAAACAAGTGACAACAGACAGCCCCTTGGGGACCTCTTGTGGCCTCTAACCATACTTGGACAAATCTCTCCCATCAGGCCAGATGGTGCCGAATGCCTTCATATTGGCAGCCAACATTTACTGAGCACCAACTGTATGCCTTGTCTGAATCTAGAGCCCAAGGAGGGTTGGAGATGAGCAGACCAGCTGCTTTAAGGGATTAGCAGTGAGGAAACTGAGCCATGCTCATGTATGGGTTTATTTATTTACTTTCCTGCCTCTTCCAGGATTTTGGGGAAAAAAACTAAGAAAAAGGCAGCACCAGAAGGTACTGGTCAGAGAAACGATGCAAGCAGTGACTCTGTGTACTCAGAGGAAGGGGAAGAATGCATGGGGTAGGGCAATCAGGGCAGGCTTCCTGGAGGAGGAGTCCATCAGGTGAGCAAGGATGCAGAGACTGGTAATGGCTGGGGTCCTCAGCCTGGCTGGTGCCATAGGTCTGTGCATGGAAGCCAAGGGAGGTGGGGCCATCTTCCTAGTCGGGGAAGAGCAGGAAGCCAGAGAAGACGCTGTCGGAGCCCTCTGTGCCCACCATGCCATTGTAGTCGTTGACAGCCAGCCACACTTCGTCGCCCACCTGCAGCCGCAGCAGCACGCCCCCTGAGCTGACCTGCTTACTGTTGGACATGTGGTCACAGAAGGTGGTCGTCTTGACGCCCTTATAGTATAAATGAACGCATAGGTTGGCTGTCTGTGATGTGTGATAGACGAAGTAGTAGAGGCCGGGGACTTTGCAGGTGAACTTGCCGGTGTTTGTGTTGTAATCCCCCTGTGGGTTGGTGATGACTGAGTTGAACTTGACTATGCTGTTGGGTGCTGGGAACTGGACTGTCTTCCGGGTCACCGTGAATACTGATTGGTGCTTCTGCTTGTATCTGCCTTCCTCACCTGGCTCTCCAGTGGGGCCTTTGATACCTGGATCACCTGGCAACCCGGAGGCTCCCATGGGGCCATTTTTCCCAGGATAGCCAGGTGTGCCGGGTTCTCCCTTCTGGCCCTTGGGTCCTCGTGTCCCGGGGGTAGCTGGGATTCCTGGGAAGAGAGCAGGTGGGAAGGAAGTAATGGGGCAGGGGCCAGTAGCAAGTGGCCCTGGGGGTGTCACATTATCAGTATTTGGTGTCTGGAAGCTCCTTTCCCCCAGATGGAATTTCAACCTGGGAGCACTGTGAAGGCAGTAAGACTCTGCCAGAGAGGAGCAGGATCTGGGTTCAAGTCCTGTCTCGCCCTCAGACTTTGGTTAAGGCACTTCCCTGTTTCTTGGCCTCAGTTTCCACAATCATGAGGGAGAGGGCTGGACTAGCATCAGGGGTATCAGAGGACTATCAGCCAACTGGTGATGTGTGGCCTGGAGCAGATATCTTCTGTTTGGCCTGCACATTTTTTTTTTATTTTATTTTAATTAGAGGGCCAACATTAAAACATTCAAAAATTGCCATTTTGTCAGTCTTGACACAAAGATCAGTCAGAAGCAGATTTCCTGGGAAGCTCTTGAACCTTGAGCTTCAGGCCCCCTTACCTGAACTGGCCTTTTCAAGACCCGTTATCTAATTTTATATTTATAATGTTTTTCAAATATGTACTTTGAAATAATTGTGGACTTACAGGAAGTTGGAAAAAGTCACATGTACCCTTTACCTAGTTTTCCCCAGTGGTACCTCTTACATAATTAAAGTACAGTATCAAAACTGGAAACTTGACATTGATTCAATCCACTGATCTTATTCAGATTTCATCAGTTTTACCTATACTCCGTGTGTGTGTGTGCATAGTTCTATGCAATTTTATCCCTTGTGTAGATTTGTGTAACCACCACCACAATCAAGTATATTTGTACTTTTGTATTATTTTTCTTAAGGAGAGTCCTCAACATTTTACAAGCTTCAAAGCCCCAAGGAACCTGTGTCCGTTCCTGAGATCAGGGCCACACCAGGCCAGCACTAGCACATGGCAACCACTGGCTGGAGCCAAGTGGTGGCTGCCCCCAGCCCACTCAGCCCACCTCAGCCCTGTGATAGTTGTCCTCATTCAACTCTCCCATGTTACGGATGAAGAAACTGAGGCCAGAGACTTGCCCAAGGCCATGCAGACAGGCCGAGTATAGTCAGGAGTCCCAAGTCTTGATTCTTGTGACAGCTATGAAAATCTGGGCCTCTGTGGATATCTGGTGGCACAGTGCCTAAGGCATTTGACAGCTAACCAGAAGGCTGGTGGTTCAAACCCACCAACCACTCTGAGGAAGGAAGATCAGGCAATTTACTTCTGTAAAGATTTACTGCCTCAGAAACCCAATGAGGGTCACTATGAGTCGGAATCAACTTGATGGCAGTGGGTTTGGTTTGTTTGTTTGTGGATATTTTTTCTGCCCTGTTGCCATAGAGTCAATTCTGACTCATGGTGCCCCCCGTGGGCCAGAGCAGAACTGTGCTCCACGGGGTTTTCAATGGCTGCTTTTTCAGAAGTAGATCACCAGGCGTTACTTCCAAGTTGCCTCTTGGTGGACTTGAGCTGCCAGCCTTTTAGTTAGTGGCTGAACACTGAACTCTTTGCATCACCCAGAGACTCCTGCCCATACCATACCTATCTTTTTAGGTCTGACAGAAGTTTCCCTCTTCCAGGAAGTCCTCTCTGACTACCCTTCCACCTGCACTGGCTAAACCTTTCCTTGTCTGAGCCTCCATAGTGTTGAGGTGTCTGTGCAGGCCCATTTATGATATGATTTATTACCCTCTTAGCTCCCCACACCTCTGTAGTGAGAGTCAGTGAGGCTCAGAGGTTTAGAAGTGTGAGATCAGCACCCAGCAGACCCCAGCTTCAGGCCGTGTGATCCTGAGCCAATGAACTCCCCCCATGAGCCTGTTTGCTCAGTTGACACCACAACATAATAACTGACCCTAGAGCTGCTGCAGGAGGGGGATGAAATAGTGCATGTCAGCCTCCTGAGCACGGTACTGTGAGTGCTCACGATGTCAGCCTTCTTTCACATTGCTGCCAGGGATGCTGAACGGGAGGTCTCACCCTTGGCAATGTCTTCAAGAATCCCTTTGGAAAGTTTCTGCTTATGTCTTTAAACAACTCTGGGGAGGGGCCCAAGAGGCAGTGAAGGGTAGTAGTTAAGAGCATGGGGCTTTGGAGTTGGGCAGGATTGGAACTGATTGCACTGTGTGACTTTGAGCGAGTTGCTCAACCTCTCTGAACCCCAGGTTTGACATATACAAAATGGGAGCCAATCTCACATTTTCAAAGGAGTTTTGCCTCAGTGTTCTTTCTCATTAGAAAAATAGACATAATTGTATCTCCCTTATGAGATAAATATATATAAAGCATTTGGAACAAGTGCCTGGCACAGTAAGTGGTAGCTATCAGCCACCCTGGGCAGGGAGGTGGCCAGAGGGGCCTCATATCAGTGGGGGGTGTTCACCTGGAATTGGAGCATTCCTTCTGGAATGCTGGTAACATTCCATTCCATGCCACTGGGAGGGAAGATAATGGTGGGGAAATTCCTACAGTAATTTTGACTGGCCTCTTCTCTCTCCTGCTTCTACCACTCCCCCATCACCCGTCCCTGACCCCGCCCCAGTCTCACCCATGCCTGCTGCAGACATGCTTGGCCTCCCAGATACATACCTGCTCACTCACTAGTGAGGCACCCTTCCCCCGTGCCCAGTCTCTGCCCCAGCACCAGCTGTCCATTCTACACTCAGCTACCTTCTCTCATGCTGGGCTTGCCAGTGAATCTGCACCAGAAGATTCTATGGCTGTGACCCTGACTTCTCACTCTCTACCCCTCCAACTCCCTGGAATCCTGGACAAGAAGGTGGATACAGCTCTTCAAAGACAACAATAGCAATATCAACAAAAGCCTACACTTATAAGTGTCTCTACCATGTGCTTATAGTAAATATACATTCTATTTCTCTAATCCTCAGAACACTACCTCCCCATTTTACAGATAAGGAAACTGAGACACGTCAAGGTTAAGTAACTTGTGCAAGTTCACATACACGGGAGGTGATCGTGCTGGGATTTGAACCCTAGCAGTCTGCACAGTGTATATACTCACTGTGTGGGCTCCACCTTGCCCCTAGAAGTCCATGTGGCAGCAAGTAGTGGAAGGACCCACAGATGTAATAAAATAATGAGATGGCCCTTTAGTGTTTCCCAAAGGCTTTCACATACATTATCTCACATGATCCTCCCAGCCACCTTCTAGGGCAAGTGCTCTTATTCTCTCCCTATTATCAGGTGAGGAAACTGAAAACCAAAGAGTTAAGGGGCCCAAGGTCAGCTCTGGGGAGGCCAAAGCCTAGGTTCTGAGTAGAGAGGTGCTCAGACTCTGCCCTGGGGGCAGGAGTGGTGAGAGGGACACAGTTTCCTCATCAGGTTGCTATCCCTCAGCCAGGTCATTCCAGCCCCTGCCTCCAGGCCAGCAGACTCACCTGGCTCGCCCTTGGGCCCCCGCAGCCCATAGTGCCCGTCCTTTCCTGGGGCCCCTGGCAGGCCCGGCATCCCCGGGATCCCGTAGCAATCTGTGCCAGCCTGGCCCCCGAGTGGCAGTGCCAGCAGGAGCAGCAGCAGGTTTAGGCTGAGGGGGTGCTGGGAGCTGGGCCCCATGTCTGTCCCAGGGAAGGAGCTGGGGGGAGGGAGAATTGAGTTGGCGTTGCCCCTCCCTTACCAGTCCTCGCCCTTATCACTCCCCAGGGTCAGTCCTTCCAGCCCCAGGACCTCCCTCCCTCCTCAGGGAGCCACAGTGGGTGGCAGGGCCTCTTCTTTGAGCCCAGGTCCCAGGCCCAGCAGGTCATGGGGACCCTCCTCCTCTCATGCATGAATCAGGATTTCCCAGGGCCACATTTCAGGGAGGTGGTACAGGAATAGAACAGCCCTTTGCTCTCACCTTTGCAGGGCCCTGGGCTTACCTGGACGTGGGAGGCTTCTGGTCACAGAGTTGTCTTCAAATCTTCCCTTCTCCAGGCAGGAGGACACGGCGCTGGAGTGGACACAGCCCAGAGCTGGGCACGGCCCCCTCCCCACCCTCCCCTTCCTTCTCTCACCCACCCCCTAGTCCCACATCCCCTTTCCCATCAATTTCCCTGACTTGACACTTTCCTTTGCATGCTGAGCCAGACTGACCACAGTGACCCTGTACCCCCTGTCCTGGTCACGAGGGTATGAAATGAGGAAACGTCCGTGGCTCCGAAATCTGGTTAAGGGTGGGGTGTGTGTGTGAGGACATAAGCCTCCTGGGCATAGACTTCCCTCAGAGTCAAGTTCAGCTTATCTAATGCCCACTCCTGTTTATTGGCATTTACTATGTCTGAGACACCCCTAGAAGGAAGTTACAATCTGCCCCTTTTGCACATAAGAAAACTGATGCTCAAAGTCATGTAATGAGTGGTCTCTTGGGGTCCAAAGGCTTGCTCTGACCCCTCAGCTCAGCGGTTCCCAGAAACAAGTCTTGCATGTACTTGTCAGGTGGCTGGCCCTGTTTTAGATACTTCTATCCATACTGACCCATATGCCATGCTTGAGGGTGGATACTCAAGCTTTGATGTTAGGCAGGGATTTTCCAGCCCTGTTGCCCCTTTGCCTCAGACCTTTGGCAAATCACTGGCCCCTCTGGGCCTCAGTCTTACTATCTGTATAGTGGGGGCTCCAAGGCTTTGAGTCTTGGTGCCTTCTTCTTTGCTGGGGCCCATGGTTTCTCTGATGATCTGCCTTTCCTGTCAGTATCTCCATCCTGGGGACCCATTGCCTTTGTTCTTACAAACTATGTGGCTGATGAGGGGCTGCCAGGCTGGTGGAGCTGAGAGAGACCCCACCCCTCATAGAGATTCTGGAGATGAAGAAGGTGTGGGACAGTAGAGGTTCTAATCCTAACCCCACTGTGCCTCCCATGTGACTGTGTGAGGGGTTGACTTTCCTGAGTGGCGGAGTGTCCCTCTACGATGGGGGATTCCACTAACTGCTGAACAGGGCCAAAGGGATAATTCTGTGCACAATGCAAAGACAAATATAACCCCACACTGGGCCTGGGAAGGAGTTCAGAGCCCTGCCCTTGCCTTGCTGAGTGACCTGTCAGGGCCTTGGTCTCCTCACCTGTGCCAGGAGGCTGCTGCCCCTTCCCCCTACAGAGAGTGTGGATGAGGGCAAGGACATGGGTGCACTTGAACCTGATGGTCTCTGACAGTGGAGGGCTAGGAAGGACAGAGAAACACTGCAGCATGTTTCCCCAGGAATGACCTAGCCCAAGGCACCCTTGGCTCCCATCCTCCTTGCTCGCCTTGTCCACGCCTGGCCCAGCTAGTCCAGCAGGTGGCAGCCTCGGCCCGTGCTCGGCCTTATCCTGGCCCGCCAGGCTCCAGCTCAGGCTCAGGGTCGTTTCCTTCCTCCAGAGGGATCAGTGGTTTGCCTGAGAGCCTCCTCAGCCCCTGACTTAGCTGAAGGAAGATAGACATGGGTGGAATTTAGGGTGCGGAGGCAGCCAGGCACTCCTGCACCCACCATTTCTGTAGTCCGGCCTCTCCCACCACTTTTCCAGCCTCCAGCCTGGCTGGTCTCTGAGTTCCATTGCACTGAAAGAAGGCCTGCTTTAGTGTCAGGCAGACCTGGTTCGAATCCTGCCATGTGAGCTTGGGTAGATGGCTCCTTTCTCTGGACCTCAGTGTGATCATCTGCTTTGCTAGGATTAAATGCATTGATGGCTGTGAAGTGTCCAGCACATTGTAGGTGCTCCAAAACATGTTTCTTTTTCCAGTCCGTGGATGTGTATGTTCTGGGTGGATGAGGGAGGGGCTGGGCCACAGAGCTGAGATTTGAAGGGAGCTGAGGGGCTGTAAAGAACCCAGCACTGCTCTGGGCTGTGGAGGCTTCCTCTCCTTCCTGGGTAACCCCTTACTTCTAATTGACCCCTAAAAATAGTTGGCAGGGCAGGGGTAAGAGCAGTCCCAAGAGAGGGTCTTGCCCTAAGGACAGGAGATGTGCCACCTAGAGTTCTTGAATGTGTGCATGTAACTAGGGGTGAGGGTGTGTGTGTGTGATGACTGTGAACCTATTTATGTGATGGTTAGTAGATGGGAGAGACTGTCCCTGTATCTCTGAGGATGGCTCTGCGGGTCTGAGCATGTGTGCAGAGAGAATACATACATTCCCAAGGCATGTGTGTGTTGGAGGGTGTTGTTGTTGTTGTTATGTGCCGTTGAGTCGGACGCGACTCATAGCGACCCCTCCTTGGGTTTCCGAGACAGTATCACTACGGAAGTAGATTGCCCCATCTCCCTTCCAAGGAGTTGCTGGTGGATTTGAACCGCCAGCCCTCTGGTTAGCAGTCAATTGCCTTTAGCCACTATGCTACCAGAGCTCCCGTTGGAGGGTGAGGGGGATGTATATACTTGGTGTCAGAGGGGGTATCTTGAGGGGGTATTTGTATAGGTATGTGAGCACTTCTGATAGTTGATGGGTATCACTCAGATGTCTGAGGCAGGGGGTGTGGGTATGGGTGTGTGTGGCTTTCAGGGCATACCTGGTGTGTGTCTCCAAGGAAGGGCATGTGCGTGTCTAAGGGAGTGGATGTTTGCTTGGGGAGAAGGTCACGTGTGCCTGTGTTTCAGTGGGAGTGGAGGAGTCTTGGTCTAGGAATGTGGGTCCTTGTGCATCTCAAGGTGTGCATGTGTGTATGTATGTGCTTGTGATTGTGTATGTATGTATGTGATTGTGCATGTGTGTGTTTGTTGTGCACGCATATGATTGTGTGTGTGTGTGCATGTGTGGTATGCAGCACAGTGATAAACAGGCACCCTTTGAGAAGACACGTGCAGCATTAGGCATTTTCAGTGCGCCCATATCTCTGGGGGTGTAGTGGTTAAAGCTTTGGGCTGCTAACCAAAAGGTCAGCAGTTTGAACCCATCAGCTGCTCTGTGGGAGAAGATGAGTCAGTCTGCTTCCATAAAGATTTAGTCTTGGAAACCCCATGGGGAAGTCCTACTCTATTCTATAGGGTCACTATGAGTAAGAATTGACTTGACGGCAGTGGGTTTGGTTTTTGTTTTATTTTCCCCACACGCAAAGGATGTAGTAGGGCTTCTTGCTTCCTAGCAGCTCCCAGATGGAATGAGTGGGGCTCTAGGAGTGCCTCCGAGGACTCGAGGTCCCCCCATCTTCCACCCCAGGATGTCCAGTGGGCAGCCCAGGCAACCGCTCCAACCCCCAAGTCTGCTGGAGTGGAAGCCAAGGGCTGCACTGGGGAAACCTAGCTTCTGGGAGGACTGATGGGCACCTGCCCCCACCCCCTCCGGCCCTGCCCTGAGGAAAAGCACATATGTGATTTGTTGTATGTGCAGCTGTGGAGGCTGGCAAGGCTGGTGAGGCTAGTAGTTAAACAGGTGAGGGAAGCAGTAAGACTTGAGGTCAAATCCCACCTCCTCTCCTTGGATACTGACCTTGGTTTTACTTGCCTCTCCCAGTCTCAGTATTATTACATGTACAATAGGAGCAGAACACCCATACCAGAGCCTAACTGTAAAGATGAAAGAAACATCATGTAACAATAGCTAAAACTTGCACAGCCCTTACTATGTACCAGGCACTGTCTAAAAATTTCACATATTAAGGCATTTAATCCTCCCAACAACCCTCTGAGTAGGTGCCATTATTATTCCCACTTGATGCAGAAACTGAAATTCACAGAAGTTATGTAACATGTATGTGATTGGACAAGTAAGTGGTGGAACCAGGATTTGAACCCAGGCAGATAAGGCTCCAGGACCTGCTAAACACATGAAGTAAGACACTCAATATAAATCTGCCTTTTAGGTACTCAATTATTGCTCTGATGCCTCCCAAAGTGGTCCAAATGTTTAATGTGTTGCTAACCCAGAGGTTGGAGTCCACTCAGAGGCACCACAGAGAAAGGTCTGGCTATCTACTTCTGAAAACTCAGTCAAAACCCGGTTGTGCTCTGAAACACATGAGATCACCATGAGTTGGAGTCAACTTGACTGGTTTGTGTACTTCCCATCCCATGCCCAGAGCAGGAACTGAACCTCAAGCTCAGCAGACACAGACTCAGGTATTTATTCCAGAAAGAGTTCTAAGAAAACATCTCCTTCAGAGCACACAGTGGGACAGCAAGTCCTACAGGCCTCTGAACCACCCCTCCCCACCCTTCAGGCAACAAAAGCAATAGCATCTGCCCCCTTTCATAGAGCAGAGCATAGAAACTCAGAGAGGTGGAGTGAGTGCCCCAGGGTCACACAGCATAAAGAGCATCCTCCCTGACTCAGATGGATGGGAAGATGAGGAAGCCACTGAAGATGCTGTCGGCCTCGGGGCCCTGGTAAATACGGCCCTTGACAGGGTCCTTCTCGATCCAGACCTGGTCGCCATGCTGAAGCTGGAGTACTGTGCCCCCTGACACCACCTGGAAGAGCTCCTTGCTGTTGGTGTCACAGAAGCCCAAGGAGCGCCGGGCTTGGCCTTTTATGGAGGACATGATGGATAGGCAGATGTCCCACTTGGACACCACCTGGAAGGTGAAGTAATAGTAGCCGGGCACGGCGCAGACAAACCGGCCAGAGTGGTTCTGGTATGGCCCTTCCTGGTTGGTGATGACCGTGTCAAAGATGACCACGTTGCCACCCATTGGGGGGTTCCTCCTCACTGCTGAGAAGGCTGGCCGAGGCTGGTCCTTGATGTTTCCTGGGTTGCCCTTGATGCCCTTTGATCCCAGGAGCCCAGCCGGCCCCAGGGGGCCACTGGGTCCTGGGAAGCCCATGTTGCCAGGTTTTCCAGGGAGGCCTGGGTCCCCCTGGTCTCCTTTGAGGCCTTGGATGCCTGTCCGGATGCCAGCAGCCCCTGGGGGGAGAAATGCCCAATCAGAGTGAGAGTCCAGTGCCCCCTGATCTGTAGGGAGAGGGCTGGACCCTGGGGTGGAGGTGGGGGTCTATGGGAGGAAAGAGTGCCTGGGTCTCCAAGACACTGATTCTGTCTGGCTGTGTGATCTTGGATGAGTCTCTAACATCTCTGAGCCTTAACTTCTTCATATGCAAAATAGAGAGGAGAGTGGACAGACACTTGAGGCTGTGTCAGGTGCTGGGAAGAAGCAGGACGCTCTGGCTCCTCCACTGTGCCAGCGGTCATGCCTGCCACACTCCTCCTGGCCACTGGCTGATTTTAGGTTCAGGGACCCCAGGCAGGATGCCTGGGTACGAATTCTTGCAAATGTTTATGCTGGTCCTTCTGGACTGCTTTGGCCTTGGAGACTCCAGGGGATGATAGGAGACTTTCCTTTCCCACTGTGGCCATCCCCTCCTCCCTTTTCCTTCACCCCTAACTTCTTGCCCCCACCACCACAACATGAGAGGGTCTGAAGCCTGAAGGGGCTGGTGAGAGAGAAGCAGGGAAGGAATGGAGGGGGTTGCTGGAAGGAAGCAAAAAGGATCCAAACCAAAACCAAAAAATAGTTAATTGATCCCTCTCTGTGTGTCAGGTAGGAGTTATTTCTCTATTTTGTAGATGAGGAAACTGAGGCTCAGAGAGGGTCCGTAACTTTCTTGAGGTCACACAGCAAGGCAGGGGGTCTAAAGCCTAGGGCCTTTGTTCTGTGAACTGAACCCCCAAGGATTGGGCAGTGCCTCTGGGCCTTTCATATACATTGTTCATAGGGACTCATTCACCTGAAGAGGAAGGGGCAGTCACAGAAAGTGGATCCAGGAGGTAAGGGGCATGTAAAGGTGCCTGGAGGGCTTGGGGTGTGGACTAGGGAGAAGGCTAGGCCCCTCAAACATTCTGGGCCGTGTACAAACTGGAGGGGCTTTGTGTGGGGACCCAGGTGGACCCCTGCTTCCCAGTGCTGCACCCAAGCATTGCATCCTGGAGGCCAGGCCAGGCCAAGGGCTTTGGGGCTAAGGGCCAAGGGAGGTGCTTACCTGGCTCGCCTCGCTCCCCCTTAAGGCCTGGTTGCCCAGGTCGGCCGGGGATTCCTGGGGCCCCGTCCTTCCCGTCTGGTGCTCGGCACACGTCCTGGGTCACCGTGGAGGCCAGGAATGTGGCCAGTACACAGACCATCAGCCAGCCCCTGGGGACCTCCATGAAGGTACTGTGGAGACATGGGGCAGGGCCCAGTAGGGTGGATATCATATACCCACACACACCTTCTTCACTCGCTTGCATCCCATGTATAGAAGGATATGTACATATCCTCCCCGAAAGCACACACAGACACACCCTCCAGGGCCTTTGACATCCACCTTCCATCCAGCACGGGCACCCCACACATACACACAGAATCACAAACTCATACAGATGCACACAAACAACTGAGCATATCCATATGTTTATATACTCACACACACTAACACACACGTGCACTCCCACACTGACACAGCCTCTCATCCACACACACTTCCCCAATGCAAGACACAAACTCAAAAGTCTAGTATATACTCCTGGACACAGACACCCAGGCACATGCCCTCCTCACGCACCTGGACACACATGTTCATACACTGCCACAGATGATCGATCCCATTGAACAAATATTTATTGAGCGCCGACTCTTATTTAATGAACACTCCTCACCTGGTGTCGGGGCTGTCCATGGACACACAGGCCTTCACAAACTCCTGACACACATGTCTTCTCAGCCCCCTGCACCCTTGACCTCTTTCAGCACCTACTCATGCGGCCCCTCTCCTGGGCTTGGACACTCCCAGCCTCTCCCAGCTTCTTGGGAACTCTGGTGAGACTAGGTGGGTCTGTTTCACTACTCCCTGTCTTCCTCAAAGCTCGGGGCCAGTGGGTTAAGGTCTCCTAGTCTCCCATTCTGGGTGCTGGAGCAGTGCCCCTCCCCCTCCTTGTACTGGCATAGCACCAGCACTAGGTGTCTCCCTCCCTTCCTCCCTGCCTCAGTTGTCCAGCTGCGGGGCCAGCTCCCCAGCTCCTGAACCCCACAGCCCCCTCCCTCTCAGTCCCTGGCCTCACCTGCTTCTGGTTGTCAACTCCAGCTGAGTGCTCCTGCCCTCCACACAGGCCCTTTGCCTTCTGGGACCCCTGTGGGACACCCAGCAGGGGTGGCGCCGGCTGTGGTCAAGTTTCACATCCCTTCCTGCTTCCCCTTTTCCTTCTCAGGAACTGTCCCCGGCACTGCCCCAGTGGCCAGGGACATTTTGAGTAGACCTCAGCAAGACTGGGACATCGATGGGATGTCCTACCCTAGCCACAGCTGGTGTGGGGGTGGGGACAGCAAGGTAAGTGTCTGCCAAGATGGGGGCAGCTGAGAGGTACTGTGTAGGGCTTGAGAATCAGCAGCACAGTACATCAGGATAAAAAGGAATCTTTTAAAATTAGTGACTTGTAAGACTTTAAAAACAAAACAAACAAAAAATCTTTTTATTGTGGTTTGGGTGAAACTTTACAGAGCAAATTAGTTTCCATTCAGTAATTCATAGTATTTTGTTTCATGATGTTGTTTGCAATCCCCACAATGTAACAGCACATTTCCCCACTTCTTGTCTGTGTTTCTTGTTTCATTCGTCCATATTTCCTGTCCCTTCCTGCCTTCTGAGCTTTGTCCCTGGGCAAATACTGTCCTTTTGGTCTCACATGGTTGATTATTCTAAGGAGTTCATCCCTCCCTCCTGTTATTGTTCACCCCATAGGCCTGTCTGTTGTTTGCTTGAAAGTTGATCCATGAGGGTGAATTCCGTTCTAGGCTTGAATGGTATCTAAGAGCCCTAGTCTCAGGGGTTTCACCGGTTTCTATCAGACTAGTAAATATGGTCTTTTATTATTATTATTACTTATTGTGATTTGGATGAAAGTTTAGAAAGCAAATTCATTTCCACAACACAATTCATATACATTTTATTTCACAACTTTGACTGAAATCTCCAAAATGTAACAGCTCTCCTCCCACTTCCTCTTGTGGTTACCTTTGCCGTGTCCTTCTTTCCCATGCATTCCTGCCCTCTGAGCTATCTCCCTGCACAAATACTGCCCTTCTGATCTCCTGTGGTTGATTGTTCTAAGGAGTGTATCTACCTGGTATAAATGTTCGCCTCATACACCTGTCTATTGTTTGGCTGGGAGTGAGTTCAATTCCAGGCTGGAAGGGTGACTAGGGGCCATAGTCTTGGGACTTTTTCACCAGGCTTTTTCAGATCAGTAAATCTGGTCTTTTGTGTGTGTGTGTGTGTGTGTGTGTGTGTGATTTTGAGTTTTGTTTCACATTTTTCTCCCACTTGATTCAGGACCTTCTATTGCAATCCCAGTCAGTGTTGGAAGCTGGGCACTATCCGGTTCTTCTGGTCTCAGGGTCATGGAGGCTGAGGTTAGCAATGGTGCATTAATCCTCTGGATTAATTGTTTCCTAGCATCTTTGTATTTCTTAACTCGGCTTCAGACAGGGAGAGACCAATAGTTGCATCTTAGATGGCCACTCACAGGCTTTGAAGACCCTAGTTGCTACTCAACAAAGTAGAATGTAGAACATTGTCTTTGTGGACTGTTAGGCCAATTGACCTTAATATTGTCTGAGCTATGTTCCTGAGTTCCCAGGCCGTGTTTGGTGATGGCTAAGATGTTTTTATAACTTTGCCCCTTGCAGCACATATAAATACATATGTAGAAATATCCGCTGCCAAATCTATACATATTTGTGGGTGTAGTACTTTTTCATGCCTGTGAAATCAACATGTGTTTGTTGCCAAGAGCTTGGAAAACAGAAAAGCACAAAGAAAGGACTGTGCAGTGGTGAGGAGAAATCTTGGCAATCTGCTCTCTAGACCTGCCACTTCCCAGCTCTGTATCACTGGGCAAGTACTTAACCTCCTGGGGCCTCTGTTTTCTTATCTATAAATTCAGAACAACAGATCTTACTGCATAGGATTATTATAAAGTTTTTTTGCTTTGAATTTGATTTATTTTGTTGCTGTTGAAAATATACACATCAAAGCGTACACTAATTGTACAGTTTCTCCCTGTACAATTCAGCTGTGCCTATTGCATTCTCACCTTCCTTTTCTAAATTGTTCCTCCCTCATTAACGTAAACTTACTACCCCTAAGGTTCCTATAGAAACTTTCGAGTTATTATTGTCAGTTTGATGCAATATAGATAGTTCTTAAAAAAGCACAATGCTCAAGGCAGATTTCTTGTTTTACTAATTAAGCTAAACTTTGGTTTTAAGAAGACTTCAGGGGATATTTTTGGCTTAAGGCTTATAGATGATCTCAGTGCAGTAGTTTCAGGGGTTCAGCCACACTCTGTGGTTCCAGGAAGTCTGGAGTTGATAAGAATTTGAAATTCTGTTCTGCATCTTCTCCCTTTTGATCAGGACCTTCTATAGAATCTTTGATCAAAATGTTCAGTAATGTAGCTGGGCACCATCCAGTTTTTTCAGTCTCATGGCAGAGGAAGCAGCTATTCATGGAGGCAATTAGCCACACATCCTATACCAACCTTTTCCGCCTAACTCTCCTTCTTATGTTGTTCTAGGTGAATAGAGACCAATTGTGCCTTGGATGACCTTTTGCAAGCTTTTAAGATGCAAGGCACTACACAATGAACTAGGAGGTAGAATATTCACTGCTGTCAAGTCGGTCCTGACTGACTCATAGCGACCCCTCCTTGGGTTTCTGAGGCAGTGTCTCTACGGAAATAGATTGCCCCGTCTTCCTGCTGAGGAGTGGCTGGTGGGTTTGAACCACCAGCCTTCTGGTTAGCAGTCAAATGTTTTAGGCAATATGCCACCAGAGCTCCTGGAGGTAGAATAGAAGTACTAAACATGTTATTAGGCCAATTTAACGAGGATATCCCATGAAACCACCACCCTAAACCTCTAAACCAAGGAACCAAATCCCATGAGGTGTTTGGCTATACATAAACAGCCTCAGCAACTTCTTTTTTTTTTTTTTCTTGTCATGATAAATATATCCATCACACAACTTTGGCAATTCAGCGTTTTATAGGTATACAACTTATTTCCAGTGATTACAATAATTAACTGTGCAACCCTACGCTTAATCAGTGCAATTTTTCCATCACTGCTAATCTCCCCTTTTCCTCCTCTCTCCTGCCCCTGGTAACTACTAATAAACTGGTCTGTATACACTTGTCTTTTTCTATAAGTGAAGTTATACAATATCTGTCCTTATGTGATTGGCTTATTTCACACAGCACAATGGCTTCAAGCTCCATTCTTGTTGTAGCATGTATCAAGACAATTTCTCCTACTGGCTGAGTAGTATTCCATTGCATGTAGGTATCACACTTGTTTATTCACTCATCTGTTGATGGGCATTTATTTCCACCTTTTGGCTATTGTAAATAATGCTGCAATGAACCTTGGTGTACAAGACTCTTTTTGAGTGTCTGCTTTCAAGTCTTTTGGGTATATACCTAGGAGTGGAATTACTGGGTTATACGCTAGTTCTATTTTTAGTTTTTTGAGGAACCGCCACATTTTTCCACAGCAGCTTGACCATTTTGCATTCCCACCAGGAATAGATAAGGGTTCCAATTTCCCCACATCCCTGTTACCCACATCCCCTTATTTGTTAGTTTCTGTTTTCTTTGTTTGTTTCATTCTTCTTAATCTTAGCCATCCTAGTGGGAGTGAAGTATCTCATTGTAATTTTCATTTGCACCTCTCTGACGGCTAATGATTCTGAGTATCTTTTCAGGTGTTTGGTGGCCATTTGAATGTTCCCTTTGGAGAAATGTCTATTCAAATCCTTTGTCTATTTTATGATTGGGTTATTTGTCTTTTTTTCCCCGGTTAATTTGTTGAAGATTTACATATATTTTGATTATTAGATTCTTGTCAGATATATGGTTCCTGAAGATATTCTCTAAGTCTTTTCACTTTTTTGGTAAAGTCTTTGGACAAACAGCAGTTTTGAATTTTTATGAGGTCCCATGTATGGTAGCATAGTGTCTAAGGCACTTGACTGCTAACCAGAAGGCTGGCAGTTCAAACCCACTAGCCACTCCTTGGAAGGAATCTACTTCCATAGTGATACTGCCTTGGAAAACCAAGGAGGGGTCTCTATGAGTCAGGTCCAACTTGATGGCACATAACAACAACGACA